TCAGACAGGGCCTTGCCTTCCCAGACATCCTGGAAGCACATCCCATCCCTATTTTGTCAGATCTGCTATACACTCTGTTTGCCACTTCATCATCAGGTTTAGTTTTTTAATTGAAAAAAACCCAAAACACACCTCAAACCAAGAAACCAAAACACAACAACATATAGAAAGGAGTCTCAACAATCAGGAAAGTCAATGGCTCCCTGATTTCTCCTGGGAAAGAAGGCATTGGCACCCTGCCTCTTTTTTTCTGGTTGGGATTTGAGAAATAACAATGCAAATATATTAATATTGCACGGTCAGGGCTACTTTCTATTAATATGTCATTAATATAACAACCTTTGCACTACATTTAAAGATCATGAAGATCAATATTTATTCTGAGGTCAGGAAAAAAAAATCAATCTTGCAGTAAAATGAGTCATATTTAATATATCCTATCAGCATAATTAAGTTTATACATAAAAAGTAGCATTGATATGTGAATAATGAATGCCATGACAGATGAGTTTCCCTTCTTGAACAACTTCATGTGGGTAATCTCAGAAATTGAAAGATTTCCATGGATAAAATGAAACAAATATGAAATAATTCCTGTAAGGCCAGGCAGTGGCCGAACCAGGATTAGGATCCCAGGAATTACTCCCATGAGAAGAATCTTCCTGATTCCCTTCTCTGCTCTGAGCACTAGACAGTCTGCTCTCCCTGCAACACAACCCATTCCCACAACACCAATAAACTTACATTACCTCTTCACACATTTCTCAAAGAAAATAAAAATGGATAAGAAAACACTTTTTCTTCAGTGCTCAGCAATAATTGCTTTCTAAAGGCACGAGCAACAAAACCTCTGACATCCAAGAGAGGAGGAACGTGCCCAGGCTCTGACCACCTTTGCAGTTACAGTGACAGGAACAGGGAGTAACATCTCATCCCAACAGCCATGAAAATGATGAGAGAGCAGCATTTTAAAATTAAAATAATTCCTCAGTGAGAAGAATCCTGACCCTGACTGGGCACATTCTGTAGCTCATTCTAAAGCCAGGCATTCCTTCTTACCTCTTCCAGGGCTTTTGGTTGCTTTTGTTGCCAGGAAGTTTGCCTTCCTTGTATTGATTTCCTGTTCTGGTGAGTTCAGGGTCTAGAACTGGCTGCACAATTCCATGGGATGGGAAGCAAGGTGAGTGTTAAAGGAAGGCAAGTTCCAGAGGCTAAAGTGGTCCCTCTGGAAGTGTGGGAGTCATTCATTCAGGCTACTTTATACTAAAGCAAATGCCACCTATTGCCACTTCTCAAATAATCTGTTTATTTCAAATGCAAGTTCCCAGATCTCCAATCTTTTGCATTTTCTTTAAAGAGAGGACTAATTTCTTACCTGCCTTTTTCAAGTCTCTGCTTCTTTCTTCTGATCTGCTTAACACGTAAACACCTCTAATAGGCTGAACTTACCGTGAGATGCAAAATACAAGACCTGTCTACAAGAAAAGCCTTAATCAGTCATGAGTTTGGTAAATGATGCCTCCATGCCATCCATATTGAGTGTCCATTGCTCCTGGACATAGCACATTAACTGACTCATTAGCTATTTCAAACCATATGGACTTGGGTTTGGGCGGGTTGCTCTGATAATATCCTGAGGTGAGCTTCCTAATTATCGTAATTACGCGATCTCAATCACGGGGCCAGCCACACAAAAGAGAGTCAGGAGGCTCACAAATGGGTGTCAGTGCACCCAGGCAATGACTGAGCTGAGCAACACGGCCCCTGGATGTTAGAGCTCCCTGGATACTGCAAGAAGTAATTACTCCCAAAGTTCTGAGGAACTGGCAGGGAGCAGCAACAATGGAGGGAGCCCGGCAGGAGCACGGGATCTGCACAGATGCAGGGACACAAATAGATCTCCCAGCACAAACTGGGAAGCAGTCTGAAACTTGATGCCTTGTTGTCAATGCTCTTAATATCGAGATGTTACATCTCTGGAGTAAATTTAGCCATGATATTTTAAGCATCAGTGAGATCTGGAGCAAAGCAGGGGAATTGAATGTGGGAGCACTAAAATGTCAGTGTTAAATACCACAAAAGCATCACAATGCAATGGTGAGAGAAGCTACAAGTGCTCACCTACTGTAGAAAATTTAAGGGGCTTTGTGCATGTGACACTGCAAGATTTCATATAATTGACTGCAATCTTTTATATTCAAACTTAGGTTTCAGCAAGGAGAAGAAAAAAATTAAAATAAATGGAAGATGGACCAAATGTTTAATGTACAGTGCTTTAAGACAGAGACAGAAACAAATACAGCTCCAGGACAGGTTTGCTGTCCTATTAAACACCTAAAGAAAGCACTGACTCTCTGAGAATCTCACCACACTCTTCAAATGCAGCCCATGATAAACCAGCACAGCTGATTGTTACTCTCCAGAACCTATGCTAGAAAGACTTTGATACTGGTAGGATTTGTGCATTTTTACTCTTGTTAGCACATTCACATTTCTCCTACTAGGATTTTTGAATTTAGCAGTAGTGGTAGCTATATCACCTTGAAAAGAAATTGCCTCCATCATAATTAGGCTTTCCTGAAAAACCCAAATCCCCACATCTGTAACCACATCTGTAGTTACTACAGACATTCATTCCCTTTAAAACCTCCCCAAACTGCTAATTTGTAGTAACTGTAAAGAGGGCACTGAGCTTCATTTACCCTGCCTAAATGGAGAACGGTTTTTTGGGAGGGTTGCTAATTGGTTGATTATAAGCAGGCAAAAAGAAAAAAGCCCCACCTCCAGCTCAATCCAACAGGAAAAGAGGATTTCTTAGTCCCACCCATGCATGTGCTACTAGCAGGGCCAAGGCTCTAGAATCAAGCTCTAATCTGCTTGGAGTTATTCCCACTAAAGCCTTTGGTCTTAATTATTTTTTAAAAGTATGTATGTGTCAATGTTGTGTTTTAAAGTCTCTGAAACCAAACAATCAGAACTTTGCTGACACACCTTTCTGTGGGCCTGCTAGTTATGGCTTTTTATTAATAAAGATCTGGATTTAACACATAAACTCATTCTTCAGGAATGGCCTGGTATGTGCAGGAACTTTTCTTTTAATATTTCCTTTTTAAATATGAGTTATATGAGTAGTTTCTATTACATTCCTGAGTGGTTGTCTTTGAGGATTTTAACTTTAAATGACTGATAAGAGCTTGAAAATCTTTAACTTTGCATCTATCCTCTCATTAAAAAAAAGGAAAACCAAAACCAAAAAACCAACAACCCAGCAAACAAAACAACCAAAAAAACCCCTCAGGTATTTCTCACAACTTGTAGGATAAATATCTTAAACCCACTTATACCACATATTAACATTAAATTACACAAGTTGTGATAGAGTTCTAAGTTATTAAAGATGGTTCACTGTTCCTCAGAACTCCATTAATTATTCATACTTAACCTGTTTCGGTTGTTTTGGTTTTTTCTTTTTCCCTCTACCTCATCTGACTTTGTTTCACTTTCTTATTCTAGTGAAACTTTGTGGGCATGGAAAGAGCCTGGAAGCAGGAAGCCCTTTGATAATGCTTTCATTTCAGTTTAATCACATGGATACCTCTTTGCAACAGCTGAACAAAGAAGTTTTCTCCTTAAACAGAGGTTTATCCTCTGATTCCCAGGCAACTATTTCAAGGCAATTTTCATCTGGAAAGATCCTTTACCCAGGTAACACATAACACTGATATTGGTGATGGTTTCTTTGATGCTGAACTGGGCAGGTGTAGTTGCTTTTTTAAATAAGCCAAACAACCCAAACACCACCCTCCTACAGTCTGTTTTGGCAACTGTTGCAAAGGGGAAAAACTCTACAAAACGCTTTATGGAAATTTTGAATTTGTCTCCTTTATGGCTGAGCTTTCTGCTGGTGATTCTTCAGCCGGTCTTCTCAATAATGATAAAACCACAGAGCCTGCAAGACTGATGAATCCAAGAGTTGCTACATGTAAAGGCTTAATTTACTGATGGGCTTTGCAGTCGCAATATGTGTTACTACTTTTAAGTTTACGTGCAAATTCTGTGGTTGCTGATGTTTTGGATTTTGATTGTTCTTTTAAAAAAGACACAAGGGCTTTAAAAAAAAAATAGGTTTAAACTTTTTATACCCTCTTTTCTGGAGAAGGACTTGTAGTCGTGGAGTGGTGGTTCCCCCTCAGGTCTGCCTAGGTTGTGTGTACTTGGGTGAACAGACCCTATCGATAAAGCAAACTCGCACAAAATGGTGGCTGTGATCAAAACTATGCCCTGGGATCTCGGGAAATAAAAACTCACCTCAGAGTGTCCTTTACTGCCAATTTACATGGGAATGGGGCTGAGGGACTCCTGGGTCAGCAGCATCTCTCCTCTGTCCCTGCCTGGAAGCAGCCTGAGGTGGCCATTACCTCTTCCACTGTGCTGTTCTGGGGTGAGTACCTGTGCTTCTGGGTGGAAATGGTTACTCTTGACCTCTGCCAGGAAGATCCTGAGGGAAAACCGAAGTGGCCTGAGGGAAGCGTGGCACCACGACAGTTCTGTGACTTCGCTGCACCTCCTCAAAGTGCATGGAGAACAGTTTTGGGGCTTTTCTTTTACTTCAAATCCTGTCAGCTGAGATTTTCTTTTTTTACCTCAGGCAGGAGACCGTCTGATCTCCTACATCTCTACGCACGAAATAATTTTTTTAAAGTTCCTCCCTCGCGAAGCGCAGCCTCAGAAGCGGGAGAGCGGGAACGCCTGGGGCTGATGGCAGCGGACGCCATCTCCCTCACGATCTCCCTGCTCCATCTCCCTCCTCCTCCGTTCCCCTTAATGTCCCTGCTCCTCCGTCTGCCTTCTCCCGGAGCGAGGAGCCGGAACAACCGGAACACACCGACTTCTCGGGCGCCATCTCCCCGCTCCGCGGCCCCGAGCGGAGGCGGCGGCGCCTCAGGGCGGGGCTGGTGGGAGGCGGGAATGGCGCGCGCCCCGCCCCGCCGCGCGGAGGGCCGTGAGGGGGCGGCTGCGGGAGTCCCCCGTCCCGGCCGGGGCTGCCCCGGCCCTGCCCCGATCCCCGCCCCGGGTTTCCCCGCCCCGGGTTTCTCGGCGGGAAGACGGCATCCCGCTACCCGTTCCTCCTCCTGCTGTTGCTGCGGAAGTGCCCGGCTGGGAAGTTTGCGGGCGGCGGCGGGGGGAGGCCGAGGGCGCTCTGTGGAGGTGGGTGAAGGGGAGCGGGCTGAGGGACATCGCCCCTGTCTCTGCTCCGTGCTGGTGGGCAAAGCACATCGAGGGATATTGTGCCTTCTGGCAGCAATTTTTCAACAGGCTTTCTCTTTCGTTTTCCCCTCCCTCAAGGTACGATGCCGCCCAAAGGTCCCGGCAAAGGCAAGCTGCCAGTCCCGCTCCCTAAAGACATGATCCTGAAAGACACCGAAGGAAAAACCTGGAGGCTGGGCAGTCAGATCGGCCAGGGAGGATTTGGCCTGATCTATTTAGGTAAACTACTGCTGATAATTAAGAGGGTGACTTGCAAATTGCTTTGTAACTTCCTGAACTGGAAAAGGCAGTAACTTTAAAAAGTGTGGTTTACGTGCTGGTGGTGATCCTTGTTCAAGTGTGGTTTTCTGAGCTGTTGTTCCTGCTCCATTCCTGCTCATAATGCACAGTGTTCTCCATGGCCTGTCCAGCTTATTTTACTGGATACTAATGTGCTTTTCTATGGATCTTGAGTGGGGCAACCAAGGTGCCACTGTGTCAAAGCACTGCCAGGTGATGTTTTTCAAAGTAAAAGTAATTTTCCTCAGCCAGGGTTTTGGCCTTGTGCCAGCCTCATGCTCTCTAGTATTCTTTCAGTTTCTGGTTATTGGAAGTGTTATTTGCTGGCCAACAGTAAATTGTTTTTTGACCCCGAAAGTGAAACAGTAACAATACTTAGCTGGGTGCTGCCTCTGAATTCATCTTTTCAGCAGAGGGGGAAGTGGTGTTCTGTATTTGCTCTGGCCTAAGTAAGTTTCAGTGATTCCTTCAGAAGCCACTGCATTTCAGTCAGTTTGTGCTCTGCTCTGTGAGGAGTGAATAGTTGTGAAAGGCAGTTTGTAAAGCATTCTGGGTCCCTGAAGAGGGTGTAATGTATGTTACTGTTGCTGGTCTCTGTGAAAGGGCAAACCCTGTGTCCCAGGCAATATTATGAGCTTGGGTGGTTTGGTTTTTCTTTTCATGGCAGCATATAGAAACTACTTCACAGTGTCTATTTGGAACTAAGTTGAGCTTGTATGGAGCAGTGAAGAATCACCTATAAGCAGTTTACTGCATTGTCCCTGAAGCCTAGCATGGTCTTTTTGAGTTACAGTAATGTGAATTCTATTTGGAATATTAAGGCTTAAAACTTAGTAAGCAAGTCCCTCCTATACACAAACCAGCTTCCTTTTATGTAGAAATCAGCTACATACAGTAGCAAGGTTCCTGTAATGAAGTTTCTGGTTTGGTTTCCTCTGGAATTTCTGTTCCTCACAAATTCACACTGTTCCTCACTGCTCTGCAGACAGAGCCAGTGGGAATGACAGGGATTTCAGCTAACAGATCAGATACAGAGGTGTCAAAGGGTAGGGCTCTTAGAGTATTTTTCTTTTGCCTTTTGGTATATCTTATTACATTTTATGACCACCTTTGAAGCATTAGCTGGTTACATTTGAGAGGTGCTGTGAGTTGGGCACATGAGAGATGTTACTGTGAGAAAATGGACCTTAGCATGGGCTAAGAAGTAAAGGTGTCTCTGGATATTTCCATTCTGAGTTGAAGGACAGGAAGGTGGGAACCTGCAGAAGTCTCCCACAGACAGAAGGCTTTGAGGGAGCTGGGGATGCAGTGCAGAAAGCAATTTGTAGTGGGTGTAGCTCTCCATGTGTAGGACCAGTCATGCTGTGTTCCTGAATCACTCAGAATATGACTGTCATTTCCTGCTGCAGCCAAATCACACTGGACCTTGAGGGTGGCTTAGCACATGGGATTCAGACAGTTCCAGGGAGATTTGAGTTTTCTGCCTGATCACAGAACCCACCAAGATGATTTCTTATATTGAAGTGTTTGTTGCAGTTTGGCTCCCACTGAACAGAGGTGGAGAGCAGTCAGTGGATTAGAATGAGAATCAGGGACTCTTGGTATTACTATTCTCTGTTTTTTTGTAAGTGACAGCATGGCTGAGGAAATGCAGCTGCCACTTTTGTAATGGCATTTGTGTTCATTTAATCCCTTCTTTCAGGAGGAACAGTGAATGCTACCTGCTAACTGCACTGAAGGCTCAGTTCCCCTTGTAGCTCATCAGTTAAAGACAAAATGGACATTTATCTCTAAGTATTGACACTGAAGCTTTCTTTTTCTTTGTCCACCTCTTGATCTCTGATGTGTTTATATTAAAGTATACCATTCAGCAGCTTTTTGGGGCCTTGATGCTACAAAATTCAGCTGTCTTTGAGAACCAGAGGGAGTGAAGTGGATGACAGATTTTTGTGATCAAGACACAGGTGCTTGGAGACACCCTCTTTTCTCTGTGCTGTTCAGACCTGTTTTTAGAACACCTAGAGCAAGGTGTGAGAGGACCACTAACTTTCAGAGAAGGAGCTGTAGAGAGGTGGGAGACAGGAGGTTCGATTGCCTGCCAGGTATGAAGAGCACAGCCCTTTTCTGAAAGTAAAGGTTAACTTTGCCAGCTATATCTTTTAATAAGTATTTTTACAGTAGCAGTGTAAAGATTTTGATGTGGTTGTTACAGCTTAATTTCCCATTAAGGGTATTCCATACTCCATTAATCTATAACAACGTTCTTGAGAAATTTTACAGTATCTCTGCAAAATCTATTTACTAGGGGTGCATTTTGTGGAACAAGGTTCTGTTCACTAAGTCAAAGCTGCTGAAAGCCACTTACTGATCCTGAGTCCTAGGATGCAAATGTAGGGCTTCAGAACTTCTAACTGTGTGCATGAAAGTTACCATGATCTTCAGGTTCTGCCCTGCCTCACAAATGCTTTCCCTTGTTTTCTGATTATTCTTACTCTTTCCTCTCTGTTCCAAATGTTTGTGTTGTTGCTGGTGCTGATTTGCTCTCAGGTAGAGCTGTTACCCCTTTGATGAGGGGAGCAGAATGAAGAGCACCTGTGGAAGGCTGTGACATTGGTGGTCTCACAACTGGTTTGTAGCCCTGTGGAGAGCAGTGGAAAATTAACCAGGAGCTGAGGAGCTTTACATTCTCTCATTCATCTCTCTGATCACAGCCAGTAATTAACACCAATCTTTATATAAATCATTCTCTAGTCCTGCTGCAAGCACTCTATTAATGTACAATTTGGACTGAAAATTTAAATGCAGAAAGGTCACACAATGTTTTGTTAAGATTCCTCTGTCACGTGCAGCCTGCTGCATCCAGTGCTATCTACTTGCAGGCTTCTTTCTCATGGAAAGGAGTGGTTCTGAAAAATAGAATATTTTTTAAAATTTATGTACAACTGTTTGTTAGATGGTGTCTTTTATGATAGAACTTACTGCATTGTAAATGTCTTTTAATTTTATGAAGCTTGGGAAAATAAAGTCATCATTGAATTGTACCCTTCTTGGAGATCAGTATAGCCAGTGCACTTTCCTTTCCTTTTGAGGTTTTTTTCTCACATTTTCAAGGAAAAGAGAAAGAATTTCTTCCTGAGCAGTAAGCAGTGATTAAATGTGTGAATATTGTCTTTTAATACTAGCAGTACAGTGAGCCCTGCTACTGGTGGAGGTAAGGAGATCTGTTAGGGCCTGTTCTTTTAAGCTTGGGTCATAGTGCTGGTACTCTGGGAATCAGGCTGAGGTGTGAAAGAGAGTTTGTTTCTGTTTCAGACTAACTTCCATGGATAGTTTGTATAGTTGTGAGCAGGGATGTACCTCTGTCAAGGGAGAGAAGCATCCATGGAAGCACACTTGCTCCTATTGTTCATTCCTTGGTTTGCTTGGGCAGCTGCTTTAGCAATTGCTTCTGGAGAAACCAAGTCCTTCAGCAGTTGCTTAAATTAAAATAATGCAGCAAATTAATTGAATATGCAATAAAATGATACCAAAAGATAAATTCAGCATGGTTTTTGTTAGCTCAGTGGAAGGATGGATCATAATAGCAAAGCCCTGTAATTAAAAGCACTAGCAGGTAACGTGGGTTAGGGATGGATTTTTCTCCATTTCAAGATGTTAAAGTACCTGCAGGTGTGAACCTTAGTGTGAAAATAAATGTGTTAGAAGACAAACACCACTTCAGGAAGGGTCTTTTTGTCTAGTCACTAATTTTAAACTGTACAAACAGAGATACTGCAAGTGCCCTGTTTGTAGACAAACTAAATCATAAACTTAGCATGATTTTGCTACTCAGAGGCTACTTAGGGGCTGACTGACCTGCACCATCTCTCAAAGAGAAAATATTCCTTACCTTTACTAGTTCTTGCTGGTGAGTGCTTCCTCTGGAATCTTCCCCCTTTCTTTTTCTTTTTGGGTCCCCTGTAAGCTGAGAGTCCTTACTTGGAATGTGTAACTCATTTTCGCACGATAGTCGAAAGCCTGTTACAAAGCCTGCAGAGGTCATTGCTCTTACACTGCAGTGTTCTGCCACATCATGTGTTGGGATTCTTCTTCCATATGCTGAGTAATTCTGGGAGGTCAGGAGAGCAGTTTTGATTGAATTTATTTATTATTTACTTTCAGTGGGGGATGGAGGAGGAGCTTTGGAGGACAGCTAAGGTACCTGTTGTCTCACAGAGGGCACTGCTTCAGTTGTCTTTGGCACCTGTACCCTACTGAAACTGGCATTGTATCTTCTGAGTGGGCACCATGTCAGACCAGCAGATGGGCTGCAGCAGAATCTTGCCAGAAAACAGTTTGTGCATCAAGTTTTAAATATTAGGGGCCTGGGCTCCCATCTGAGAGTGCTGTAAGAGCAGGCCATGCAAAGCTTTTCTGCCTGGGGTTAAAGGATGTGTCATCCCTATTCCAGCTTGAAGTAATTAACTTTGAAAGTCAGACAATTGGCTTCCATTAATGTGGCATACAAAAACTCTGGTGAGTCAAGATTAAGGTTGCCCAGAAACACAAGTAAGAAATGTTGTGAAATTTCTTTACCAGTACTGAATGCTCTTAACTTGGAGGCACTTGGAGTTACCTGTAAAACAGTAGAGCAGTTGAACACTATTTTGTCCCAAAATCAGTTTAGTTTGGTCTTGCAGAAGATGGGTCTTGTGGAGGGTTATGTATCTGTAATCTGTATAAAACCCCTCTACATTCCTAAAGCCACCTGTAATAAGAATCTAGAATAAAACCTGGTCAGACATGCTGCATCTATAAAGTAACAGAGAAGCAGATCTTTCTTAGGCTGCAATGAAAGTGGGGTGTAAACTCCCTTCAAACATGGAATGTTTCAGTTTTTGGGAAATATTGTATATTGCAGTGTCAGGGAGGGGGAAGCAGTGTGCTTTGTTTGCCTTTAAAGGCTTGCCTTAGCACCTTCCCTATGTAGGAGGTAGATGAAGTTGTGTTTAGTAGCAAGTGCTGCTTTTTATTTACTTGTGCTCGTTTTGTTTTTAGTAATTCTATTGCTGCAGCTTGGGTCCTTTTTTATTGTTAGGTGCTCTGAGCAGCACCCCTTCCCTGCTTTTACCCATTGAACTTAACAGCTCTTGGCTTGACTTGAACAGGGTCAGAACTTCTCCAGCTTTTTTATAGGTAGCCTGTAACTTCAAAAATGTGATATTTTTGAGATTAGTCTTGATTGCTGCAAAAACTAAGCTGATATATCACTCCTCAGGATTAGCTAATGAGTGGGACAAAGCAAAAATAAAATAGTAGCAACTAAAGAACTTCTGAAAATACTTTTATTTGTGTTTCCCAAACAAATATATCCTCAAAATATCCAGCAGTGGCAAAGACACCAGCTGTGGACAGGAGCAGGGCTGTTTCTCCAAACTGCCAAATCAGTGCTGTTTTCTTTTCCACTGTGTAAACTTTGTCAACAAAAGTGGTTCTGTGAGAGCCGTTGAAAATATTTCACCATATTCCAAATGTGACTGCCACAAATTAACTGCTAAAACTACAACAAGCACGTTTGAACTGGCAGAGGGAATTGGCACGTTCCTCTGTGTCAGGCTGCAATTGTGCTGTGTGGTTGTAGGAAATGGCAGTTCAGCCACAAACACCCTTTTGTTACCATAGCTTGTTAACATTTACAGAGTGCCATTAATTAAGGATGTGGCACTCAGCAACAAAAAGGATGAAATTAATGGTTAAAGTGGATGATAAGGCCATAACTGCTGTGCTGGGTGCAACCAAGGAATCCTGGACATGGGTTAATTCCAGGTGAGATTTTTGTGCAGGCACAGCAGTTGGAAATCATGGCTAGGATGTGAATCTTGCTGCACTGCTTTATTTCAGAGGGCATTTTAAAGCTGTTTGCCCCACACTGGTGTGGTAGCTGTGACTGTGGATTGAAGGGGAGGAAGGGAGGGCAGAGCTGTGCCCTTTGCCCTTTACAAATGTTTTGTGAGACTCCTCTTGGTATGAGGTGAAAACAGCCACAGCCTCCTTCACGACTACATCCTGCACCAGTGCTCCCAGTTATGCAGACAATGGTTTGGGTTGTGTGCCTGCATCAACACCCCCGTCCCCAAAAGTCAGGAGTTGTGCATCTCTAGTTGACAAAAGCAGCATAAGCTGGGAACTTGTGCACTTGTTATGCTATTTTAAGGGCTTTCTTGCAAACATAATCTCACCATATAGTGCTCCTGGTACCCTCTGTGAGTACTTATCTGCCATCAGAGACCTCCTGCCTATCAGCACTGCTCTCCTGCAGAGTCTCTGCTCACTGTCCTGCAGTCTAGCATTTAACTGATTGTAATATTATAAATAGCCATGTGCTACCACACAGAACGAGGCTAGCACATGGCTAATTACGAGTATACAGTAATTAACTATGAGCTAAACTCGCAGGAGAGTATGTGGTGGTGGTCTATGAGGTATGTAATCAGACTGTTTGTTAAACCTTGGGAGCCTTTCCAGTCTGTTAAATAACTATACATAGTAATGAGACAATTTTTAAAAAACCATTTATGTTTATTTATGGACAAAAAAATAGTCTGCATTTTTTCTGAGCTGCGAATGGAGTATTGCTGGTTGGCATCTGAATGGGTAAAGTGGTGTAGCAAAAGGTGCACATGCAACTTCTGCTCATCTGTGTGGATGAGACTGATTGTCCCAGCATTACCTGTGTAAGAAGCTTAGTGTTATTCGTGGGGACTGTTGTGCCTTGTTCCATGTTTATGCAGTAAAAATAATACCTTTTCTCGTTTTGTACACTTGAATGGAACTCATTATGTGGGGCACCTGTTTCAGTATCGTGTTGAGCTTTGACTTTTCTAACCCTTTTCACTTTGTAACCGTTGCTGGTTGTGTTTGGGTTTATTTTCCTTCAGGATGTGTGACTTCCAGTGTGACTCCAAAAGCATCCAAGCCAGCGCAGTGTAAGAACCACGGGGGTGAAGCCCTTTTGCTGGGCTACCGCCTGTTAATTGCTCCTCTTCATTACCCTGACAGCTGTTATTCTGCTCCAGATTACCATGAATGAGGCCTCTCTTTATAAAATGTCAAGAAGTCTACAGGGAAGTTAGATCAGCCTCTTTCAAATACATTTAAATTTGATACTTGCTACACCTATCAAACCTCTGTTAAGTAACTTGGTATTGAACTACATTTTCTTATCAAGAGGTTCTTTTCTGATCTGTGCCAGAGAAGGGAGCACATCAAATTCTGTTTGGGTAATGTGATGTTGTTGAATGCAGTGAAAGCATATGGGATGTGCTTCTTTTACTAGTGTCTTCTATTAATACATATTCTATATATGGCAGAGAAAAATGAAAGATATAAATGTCTGTGCCTTAATTCCCACTTCAGTACAAAAATATGGTAAGAACAAAGTGTACCAAAACTTCTCTTCTAGTAGATTTAATGTGTGTTCTCGATGTGACTGTTACTTGTGTGAGTCTGTGGATAGTTCACACCTTCCAGATCTACTGTTTTAATATTTTAATTTTATTTTAGTGTGTTATTAGCCCAGCAGCATTCACATGGGGAAGTGTCAGTGGGGAGCCTGTGGGTAGGTGGGGTGTGTACCCTGCCAGATTCAACCAAGATGCTGAATAGAATTGAAGGAAGATGGCAGCTGAAGGAGACTGTTCATTGTAGAAGTATTTTTATGCCCTGACCATCAAAAAAAGTAAGCTTGGATGGTTTGATTAGATCCAAGTTTACTTGATTTTTATGATGCGGATAAAAGGGGTCTATTTTTGTGTGTGCTCGTGGTTGAAGTGTGTCACACCTGGACTGTTGTTGGTATTTGATCATTATCAGAATTTTGAAAGGGACACTTATTTCCTAGGAATTGTATTCTTTTTACCTTTTTTGAGTGATGATTCTAAAAGATGATTTAGTCTCATTAAATTTTAATCCCAGTGTAGCTCTGTGTAGCTTCAGTAGTATCAGAGAGAGCTGATAGTTCTCTCAGGGTCAGAAGAAAATAGGATTGCATTGTCTGTGCACAGAGGTTCTGTCTCCTGGGCTGTAATTGGCACATGTGGTCAATTATTGTTTTGAAATCTCTACTTGCACTGAGAGGCACAATCCCTCAGCTCCCCTTTAGGCAGGTGGTGACTGTGCTATCCCCAACTTAGGCCAGTGTCTAAATAATGCCAGAATAGAAATCAAGGTTCTAGGGCCAAATTAATTTGTGATAGAGGAAAGCAGACAATCCTGTCTAGAGGCATAATGTAGGTCAGAACTTCTAAGTGGTGTCTTTGTCACGACAGCAGATTGACAGCAACCAAATACAGTGGTTTTCCAATTGGCTGGAATGACTTATACAGGGTCTGTCCTAATGGAATGGCTCATTGTGGTGCCAACGTGCACTGAGGACATCCTGCTTACTCCTTAATTAACATCCAGGGTAGACTTCTGAAAGCAGGGCTTCAAATTGCTTCTCTACTTGTTGATTAAAACTCCTCTCTGTGTGTTGGTTTTGTTTTATATTTCTTTGAACTTGGCAAAGCTCTGACCTTTAAAAGCAGGAATTCAGACTATCTTTTGGTGTGTATTTTTGGTTGCCTGACTCAGTGTTAGCACAGTCTTTATTTGCAATTACATTTTGTTGCATACAGCTTGATCTCCATCTCTTTGTTCCTTTACAGCATCCCCTCAAACTCAGGTTCCTGTAGAAGATGATGCAGTGCATGTCATTAAAGTGGTAACGTGTAGATCTCATTTTAAATTATTAACTTGCATGCAGTTCTTTCTCTTAATTATATATCCTTAGTTTCAGCATTGGGTTTTTATTGCTTGTTGCTTTTGGTGCTTTGGGTTTTTTATATCCTTTCCCTGCTTGGGGATATATTTGGCATTTCCATGACACACAGTATTTCCTTGACTTGATTTTTTTCCTTCATTACAACCCCTCAACAGTTTAGTAAGGAAAATTAGACTATGATCTCAAACACACCTGATCTCCAATATTTCTGAAAATAGTGTCTTAAATAATATCTGAAAGAATCTGTGTTGGTTATGAAAATGCATTGCCAAACAACTTTTCTTTTTAGCTACTTAAATTAAATTTCAGGTGACATGGAATCTGGGAGATAAAAGGGGTTTCATTCTCTTGTTATTTCTTATATGCTTTTCTTAAGAAACTGTTGTCTTCCTGATACCTTTTATCATACCAGCTTTATTTGTTTCTCAACAGGAATATCTTGAAAATGGCCCCTTGTTTTCTGAGCTGAAGTTTTACCAGAGGGCTGCAAAACAAGAGCATAGTAAGTAATGTCTCAGCTCTGACTCTGGGTTTAACTACTTTTGTTAAGAACTGTTGCTTTAGAGCTCAAAAGCCAGCTCAATTCATATACCCTGAACCAGTGCCAGTTGGTGCTGTGGTAGTTCTGGATTGCTGTAGGTTTTGTTGTTTGGGTGTTGGCCTTGTCCTTTCTGGTCAGAAGGGAGAACAGAAGCCAACCAGCCTGAACAGGGCCACATTTATTACATGCACACCAAGGAAGGGACTCCAGGGACAGGCCAGCCCTAGGACAGAGAAAACACCCCAAACCTGGTGTTCTCAGCTGCCTCTAACCCAATGTTATGTTCTTTCTATTATTACAGTAAGAAAATGGATGAATCTCAAAAAAATTAGATGTTTAGGAATTCCAGTGTTTTGGGGATCAGGCCTGGCTGAGTACAATGGAAAAAGGTAATGAGATAAATGGTAATTAAGCCTCAGTTTGACTGATGGCCCATTTTCAAAAATGGAGATTTAGTCCTTTCAATCTGACACGAACTTGCAGTCATGTCTTAAAGGATTCCTCCTTTTTTGTATTTCCTCATAGCTACAGGTTTATGGTCATGGAGAGACTGGGGCAAGACCTTCAAAGAATCTTTGAAGATTGTGGAAGCAGGTTTAAGAAGGAGATTGTTCTGCAGCTTGGGGCACGGATGGTATGCACAGACAGAGAGGAAATTGCTGTGTCTCAAATTTGCTGAGTTCCACTAGAGAATCATCTTGCTAATACAGCTCCTTTAGGTGGCTGCTGAGTTTAGAATTAAATGTGTAAATGCTATGTATTTTCTTATTTCTCTGGGGTTTTTTAGGAAAAGAAAGTGTTCAGTGGAAAATCAGGACTCCCCTACAGACTGAAATTTGGTCAAACCAATTTTTTTTTTAAATAGGTTAAAACACAGACCAACCACTTCAACCTGTGTGTCTAGACTGAGATGTGTAAGCCTATTCTCATGTTTCAACATGTATTGATTTTTTTCAGTGTCTGAAGGGTATTGTATTAGACATCCATATTTGTCAAAGTTCACAATTGCATGCCTGAATGCCAAATTTTCAGGGTGTTTGCTGAGCACACCGATCATACAGCCCAGGATTTGGCCAGTCTGCAAATACCAGTTTTGTTCTCAAATGGTGTCACTGGCACATTCCAACAGAAAGTTACATACGTGCTCCTTTGTAACATGATTTGTTACTGTGAAATACTGCTACTGCTGAGCAGAGGTGGGTAGAAAATGGAGTAGAGGCAATGGTCTTAAGTTAGAGAAGAGAAACTCTTAGACTACATGCATTCAAAGCATCCCTTTAACCTAAATAATAATATTTTTTTATAAAAATGGAAGGGCTTTCATAGTCACATGATTGAAAAACTTCTAACACTGTGTTCTCCAAAAGTCAGGACTGGCTTGTCCTTTGTGTGAGTTGCCAAGTGCAAATGTGGTTTTAATAATAATTAGAGCTATTGTGCCTCAGTAAGGAGCTGGAGGTGTTGATGCAGGGGGGCTGTGACATCAGGTGCTGGTCATGTAATCACTGACAGGATCAAATGTATGCCAGACCTTTAGAAATGATGGAATAGGATCTTTCTAAGAGCTTGGTGTTCTCAGCATCTCCTCTGGTGTTTGTCAAGTACTGGTTTCATTCTTGCTCTGTGATTTAGAAGCTGGTACTCAGGTAGTTTCACAGGGATATCTCAAGCACAGGATGACTTGTTTATGCTTTGCCATCATTAGTCCAAGCCAAATTTGGCAGCTCAGTCTGTGTAGCCCTTGGTTCCCCTGTCTAAGTGAGAAATATTTGGGGGCAGAGTGGAGAAGATGATGATGTTCTCTCCTCTGTTCTAAACTCTTTCCTAGTTGGATACCTTGGAGTACATACATGAAAATGAGTATGTCCATGGGGACATTAAAGCAGCAAATCTTCTTCTGGGCTACAGCAATCCACACGAGGTGAGCATGTTTACTTATCTACACTTCTACTCTACTGTGTTTATAACCATTGAAAAGTTTTAAGTTTTGCAAATGTTTTGCTGGCACAATTCACATATTAAAAGGAGTTTAGGCATGAACATTCACATCCCCTCACAAGAGGGGCTCTGTAGAGCTTGAGGGCTGAGAAAGAAGCAGGACAAAGCTGTGCTTTGTTCTCTCTGTGTTCTGCTGACTGGGATACTGCTATGGATGAGTAAGCTAATGAAGAGGATAAATTATGGGACCTAATTGCTGCTCTAGGTTATACCAGTTGAAGGGTTGGACGTGGCCCATTGTACTTTCATTCTGGGAAGTTCTAGATTTCTAATATTGCTATAAATTATTTCCATGCCCTAACTCTCCTGTCCTGCCCATTGTAGTGGATAGAACAGGTAAGTAGGATTAAAGTTGCTGTTCTCTAGCACTCTGAAGGCAGCCTTGAAATGGAAGACTTTGGGTGAAATGTTTTAAAACAAATCTTTTGGTCCTGTCGTATTCCACGTGCTCTTATGATGTCTTTTTTTCCTTCAGGTAATAAAATCTTAAGTATGCTTTTTTAATTGGAAAAAAAATCATTTAGGAAAAAAGGACAACTTCACTTAAATATAATTAGCTGTAAGCAATTCTTCTTTCAATTTTGGTTTCTCTGCTGTCATGATAAAGAACCAAATCTTGCAAAGCAGCTCACTGCCATTGGAGGTGAACCATTGGAGTATATCTGCTCTTTTAAAAGCTTCAAGTTAAATGGCTGAGTCAAATTTAACTTGTCAGCTTTCTGAAAGACATCATTTGAAACACAGCATGGCTGTTTAAGACAACTCTGGGTTTATACAGTGGGAGCAGCCAGTGCATAATCACAGTTTATGGTGTTCTGCTGAATCCAGAGGAGGAGGCTCTTTAGAGCCAAATTGATCTGCAACCATTAGCATAACTCAAATGACTTTTCTTTTGTCTTGGCTATTGTATATTTTTATGACAGCAAGAAATGCTGCTGTTTTTCAAATTGCAATCACTTTGGAAGTGTCCACTTACAGTAATCATAAAATGTTAAAACTTGGAGCTGACTTGGAATTGGGCAGATTGCTGGGTGATTTTCTGGTTTGTTTCATGTGTTATTTGTATAAAGATTGTGCTGTACTTGTGGTTTGCTTTAATGATAGTAAATTCATTGACAGGTTAGAAATAAGGTACTTGTGAGTTGCTGGACAGAGGTTTTAGCATTTTTTTTTAGGGTTTATTAAGGAAAAGAAATCAGTAGATGCTCCAGTTTGAGTAGCTCCTAACTCAACACGTACAAAGTGTATGTCACTGCTGGCAGGCTTGCTGTGGAATTTTGTTTCACCAAAATTTCTCTTCCACTGAAATTATTCTATAAAACATTTTAAAAAGTTCCCATTGTAATTCAGAAGTGCTAATGGGGAGAATTTCTAATATTTGCTTGCATTTCTATGGTATGAATTAAACTTTCATTCCTGTATGTGTGAAGTGTTTGTGCCACCTTTCTCTCTCTGCCAACACAGTGGATAACTCGATTGGTCTTGGTTGGTTTTTTTTATTTTTTGAAAGGTAAAGTGATCAACCAAATCTCATAAATAGGGAGTGAGAGCATCTAGCCTGTGGCAAACTCAAACTCAGGAATACATGCCCAGGGGCTTCTGTAGCTCCAGTGGAAGTTGGCATAATAAAACTGCCTGACCTAACGATTTCTGTTATGAGGTTTTTCAAAAATTTAATGCCAGTGGGTTCTTTCTCTTTAGAGTCTAGGATTTTAAGAGAAATTATATTGTATGTGTTCTAGAATTAGAGAAACTTGTTTTTAAAATAAACCAAAAACTCATACCTTAAAAACAATATTTATCTCTATTCAAAATGTAATTCCATATTCTGTTTTGGTAAAGAGAGATAAATTTCTGTTCAAAAAAAACAGGTGTACCTTTATACTCAACTTTATCTTTTTTTGTAACTGCAGAAAGTCAGTGACAAATTTGCATCTAAGAACACACATCAGCAGTCACTAAATGACAGAAAAAAAAAATGCAATTTTCCTGTGTTAGACTTCCTGCTGCTGGTCTCTCTCTTCTGTAAATTAACCTGGTGAATTTACACCATAGCCAATAAATAAGAATCCCCTTTCTCAAAGGGCATGTGAAATCCATACTGCTGTCCCCTGCTTTCTGTGGCACGGCAGAGAAACAAATAAAGCAAAGGTGCTGTCACTGTGTGACCTCCAAATGATGGTTGGAAATGGGGAGAGGCTCCCAATCGAGTGACCTCAAAGAGCTGCAGATGTGCTCAGCAGGGGGCAGCGAGGCCATTCCCTGAGTTACAGGTCACAGGATCAATTCTGCAGTCAATGGTTCTGAGCACGGGCCTGCACAGGGACTGCCAAAGCAGCAGTGATGGACTGAGGGGAGTGCACAGCCCATGAATCTCACAGAGGCCTCAAAGGAAACTTGAAGTCATCAGACCTATAAATTACAGGTGAAGCTCAGTCTCAGGGCTGTGGAGAGTTAAAGATAATTTGTTGCATGGTCCTAACTGTTTGTATGATAAAGCAGAACAAGCAGCGTGGATAGAGACTCCAAAAGAAATTATAATTCATTCATCTCATTTAAATAGTGATACTATTAAGAGGGGCAAGTGGTCACCAGACAAGAGCTTAAAGCCTGCATTTGAAATAAATGAGATTTGGGAGAGCACCTCTTGCAATCACCTTGTAGCATTTTTTCCCCATGGGTTTTATGGGCAGACGTGTTGCAGATCAAGTCTGTTTGGGTTTAAAAGCTGTGCATTTTAATTGCATGTGCACCTCAGTCCTGATTATAAGTGTTTCTTAGACCAAGACAGTTGGTCTAAGAAACACATTATAGAACTCTGACTTGATTATCAGAGATGGAAGAATACAAAAATTGTTTCAGAAGATACAGAAATCATGCATTGATCTTTTAGGAAAAAGTTGCATGAAAGCAATTCTGACTTCAAGCTGTTTTTCATTGTGAGGTGAATCATTGTGATTCCTGCTTTTTAGCCCATTGGGACAGACTTGCTAAAGTGCAGGTGAATTGAGAAAAATTCAGATCTTCTCTGTTCTCCTTCAGGGCAGAGATGCCCTGTGCCACTTCCCCTCTCTGTGCTGGTAACCAAAATGGACCTCAGTCTGCCTTTACCCTTTTTGTAGTCCAGTGCCCAACTGAACCTGACAGCACTCTGGCCATTAGCAACCAATCTGCCTCTTATTAGTAGGTATCTACTTAATTATTTACAGGCATGATGTAAACCTAGGAATGGAAGCACACAGAGAACATCACTGTACTTCATCCTTCCAGCAATAAATCTCCTGCTCTGTCTTTCAGGATAAAAGAAATACCATGAGAATCCAAAGGGCCAGGCTAACAACTTACCCAGCTCAGTGCAGTTAAATATAATCATGGGTCCAAGTTGTAAGAATTGTGTATGTTTAGCAGATATTTGGCACTTCAGAGACCTGTGCACTGTGAGGGAGTCATGCACAGAAGGGGCAGAGAATGGCTGAAAGTGGCTGGCTGCTTGTGCTCACAAATAATTATTTGTGCCTGTGATAACTCACTTGACCAAGATGGGCACATTTACGTGTGCATGAAATTAAAGGTGAAGACTTCAGAAATCTGGCTCATGGTTTGTAACAAAAATCTATTAATAAGAGACCATGCTAAGCACTGCAGAGCCTGGTGCAAACTGGGCTATGTAGAGAAAAGAAACCTGAACAAAAACAAGGGTTAAAATAAGTGAGTGGGGAGGAGTGTACAGTGTGCCACAGCTAAACCCAGCTGTTCTGGGCTTATGGCCCTGTTACACCTTCATCATCCACATTACCTTTTCTTATTCCAGTGTCCTGTTTGCCTTGATTGCTTTGCTCTGTTTTGTTCTCTTTTTTTGTTCTTATTTGGGTTTTTTCCCAAAAAAAGCATGTAGATAGAAAATATTTATAGTATTGAAACACATAGTAAAGCTGCCTTAATTTTTTTTCAGTATTCTTTAATATTCATCTGCTTTTCCCCTTCCCTATACACTTAAAAAATCCACAACAACTGTAAACTCTAAATGAGCTACCTCTACCTCATGTTCTGAGCAAATTTGGAAGGGCATGCAGTATTACATTATCAAAAAGTGACAACTAGCTATAAAGAACTATATATCTTTTTAATGATGAAAGGGTTATAATGAGAATTGATGAAATGAAATTAATGGTAATTTAAAATAACACAGTCATTCTGATAATGGTTGTGGCAAGGTTGTAACAGTGCCTTGCTGGTTTTGTACAAGCTGAAGGGGATTGATTTTTGTTGGTGGCCAAGAGGCTTTGCCTTGAGAGGCTGCCATGTTTATGGAAAAAAATCTGATGTGAAAATTATGGAAGTGATAAATGGCCCACCTAGAAACAAGCTGAACTGGTACACTCATGGCCAACTTTTGAGGAGAACTGCTGTGATCAGATGTCAGGATCACCCTGCATGTGAGTGGCTTTAAGAAGCAGTTGCTTCTTTATTTCCACATCTTTCCATCTTCAGTCAGTGCAGGATAACTTGAAGTTCCTTCTCACTTCTAGGGGGTTTTCAGTATAAATTGAAAACTGCTCTGCTGATATGGTTACTGAAGGTATTTTATGCAAATCCAGTGGTTAAAAATGTACTGCATTACGGAGCTGCCTTAAAAATAAAAAAGTACAAAGTTACTGTGATAGGATAAGATGGGGGCAGTTTAAGTTTGAGTAGCAAATATTTGTGGCTGCTAATTGGTGTAGTTTGAGAGATCACTAAGGCTGGGCTGTCACAGGGGAGTCTGTCACATAAACAGGTAAGCCCAGCCCAAACCAGAGAGCTGCCAGACGTGCTGTGGGTGTATTTTCTTTCCTAACAGTTGAAATCTTACTTTAATGTAAGTCAGAGCCTTAATTTTGAAAGGTATTTTATCTTCCTGTCTATGTCAGAAACCTGTAGTCAAGCAGAATCTGAAACACACTGCTGAGTCTGGGAAGAAAGCAGCTCCTAGGCTCCTCTCTCCTTCCCAGCCCACAAAGGATGCAGAGGACTCACAGAACTTGGTATTTAGGGTAGTTTGAGTGAGTTCTCTGACTGTGGGCTCAGTTAGGGCAGCACCAGAGCATCAGGAATACACCAGAGAACGGATGCAGGAGAAAAATCAAATCAGTCAGCCCAACCAAACTGATGCCCTGTCCCAGATTTTGTAGCCATCCATGCCTCTGCTCTTTAATCTTGTATCCCAGTTTGGCTGAGCTGTCAGGTGAGAAACATCATCAATAATCTTAAAAGCCACCTCCCTGCAGGAAGTGAGCACTGCAGCCCGGCTTACACGCTCCAGATAAGCTCAGATCCTGCAGCAGAAACAGTAAAACCAAGAGACCAGCAATCCCAGGATTTGAAGCTGCCTGGAGCACAAACAGGAATCAGTAGTTCAACAGAATGTGCTGCAAAGTAATGCATTAAGTTTTCTTGAGGCCTTTTTGTTTGTTTGGTTGGTTTTGCCTTTACCAGGACGGATGTAATTAAATAGCAAGTGAGTGCCAGGAAAGTTTGTTTTGGACTTTTTTAGGATAAACTGTTTTATAGCTAAAGAGGAAACTAAACTAACGTTCAAATGAGATGTGTTTCTTTTTCATATAATAAGATTTAGTAGAAGTGATCTGTATGCCTTCAGATGATTTTTAGCTTTTGCCCCAAAAATCTGTGGATGGAATGGTGATTGTGGCACTATTGCAGTATACACAATTTGGGCCCAATTTTTTTTTCTCTTACATTGATTTAACTCTATGTATTTGCTTCAGAGTAACTGAGAGACCACAGTTTGGTTCTGTGTCTTTTACAAATGCATTCTAAATCCATGAGTGGTTTACTGGGATGGTTTTCTGGCTTGGGGAGGGCTGGTTTGCTTTGCTTTGTTTTAGCCTAGACTTTCAATAGTTTCTGTAGGAAGTTGGTGACAGTGGCATTCCAAGGGGTTGGATTACAGGTGGGTCAGAGCCCAGCAGCCCTGTGGCCACAGGAGCCCCATGTCCAGTCCAGCTGGAAGGAGCTGCTGCCTCTTCCTCTGGCTTTGAAGCTGCACAGTAGAGTTGAATTTGAAGAGTCTCAGCTGCTGGAAAATCCAAATGGGGAAGTGAGTGTGCCTGCTTAGGTCTGGGGAGGAAGGGGTCCCATAAGCAACGTGAGGCTGCATAAAAGGCATATTGCAGTTTATGATGTCTGGATGCCCACCTGGAGAGCAGAGAGCTCAGGAACAAAATGAAATGACTGAAATCCTGCTCAACTCTGAAATAAGATAAGAGTATAGTAGTGGAAGGATTTAAATGGGGAGGGCAGCTGTTATAGCCCCCAGTTGTACATATTTTATCCTGAGGCACCATTTGGTTTAATAAAATTTAGATCTAAGACTGTCCTTAACCTATCAGTTTCTTAAGACTTAATTACAAAGGTTATACTTTCAAAGGACAAAAGCATTATTCATTTGTCTGTTCATGTCTTCCAGGTTTATCTTGCAGATTATGGACTTTGCTACAGATATTGTCCCAATGGGAACCACAAACAGTATCAGGAAAATCCTAGGAAGGGCCATAATGGGACAATAGAGTTTACCAGCATAGATGCCCACAAGGGAGTAGGTAGGTTTCTTTTTTTTTTATTTCAGATGAGTGATTATAGAATGAGTAATCAGGCTGTGAGTGCTGCTGTACACAGGAGAAGCAGTGTTGGGGATTGCTCAGCCCCTCGTGTGGCGACCTCCTCGTGTGCCTGGGAATGCTTCCCCAGGGCTGGGGGAAGGGCAGCAGGAGGAGCCCTGAGAGGCTCTGCACACACAGCACTGGAGCAGCCCAGGACAACCCTGAGAAGTGCTCAACATCAAACTTCATTGGTTTGTGTTGGGAGGACTGGTCTGTGCTTGCTGTACCCTGCAGAGGCAGGATTTGCTAATGCTGCATTGTCAAGGAAAAGGGCTTGGAGTCTGCACTGTCCTTTAGGGAGAGCTGTGTCTGAGTGTCACCATCTGTGTTATGGGAGGGTATTTCAAGATGACATTCCTCCTGCAAGGAGAAAAACCTTTTCTGAAGCCATAAAGTGTTAACTTTTTGAAATCTTTTTCCAGTAGCCTTTCATATATCTTACTTATTTAAACTCACTTTGATGGTATTGGAAACACATTTGCAGGTAAATTACATACATAGTCCTTTTATTGGATATTGATTGTACTGCCTTGCATTCCAAGGCAGACTTAATTCAACAATTCCCTAATTAGTTAAAGTCATAACCTATGTCTTGTATTCATTTACCATTAATTAAACCTTAGCTGTTTATTACGCTGCAGTCCAAATCCAATAGCAGACCCATAGAGCCATGGAGAAGGGACTGGGAGGTCAATATTGAAAATATATGGTGTAAAGTCCCACTGATGGCTGCATTGTTCACAATCAATATGGTCAATGCAACACAACTTTCTTAGTTGCTATGTCAGCAAGACAAAAAGTCAATTCTAATGTTATGCTAGTGAAAAAAATGGTGATTATTGAAAAACTTTGACTCTTGCTACACAAGAGTGTTTTTGTTAACTTTTCTTTCCCCTTTCCCCTCCTTCACCCCCAAGATCATCTCAAGCAGGAGGGATGGTTTGCTGCTGCCAGCTCAGTGAGCATCAGTGTCACCAGCAATAACTGCAGGAATTTGTGCTTGTTAATAGCTGCTGAACTGTTACCTTAAACTAATACTTTCTAACGAGTTTTAGTTGGCACAAACAACTGTATATTATTGCTTTTTCTATTAAAAGGACCATTGACCATGTAATGTAGAGGGTCTTGATAATTTGCTGGAGCTGTTAAAACCTGCAGTCGTTTAACTCTGGTCATTAGGAAAAATGAAATAAGACTGGCAAGTATTTCCTGCTAAGACAACTGCACCATTTCACCTGCTAGAAAATATTTTGTGGTGAGGAGAGCATCTGTTTTGGACTCTTCTGGCCTTCCCAAGCATGCAGGCTGTTTTCTGGAGACCTCACTGCCTGCTTTGCCTGGTAGTGTGAGTGGTGTGGTTGTGCACCATTATTTGATTTGGATGCTCTTTGAAGGGTAGGTGGAAGCTGGAATATTTGGGATTTGGCTGTTGGATAGTTATAGCAGCCAGTTTGGTAGTGTTTGTGGATGGGGATGTGGTTACAGGACAGATAATTCCTTCTATTTGAAAGTGCAGGGAAATTTTACAGACTTGTGTGACAAAAGGTGTGCAGAGGGAAGCGTGAGGTAAGTTTTGCAATCTGTGTCTTAGATAACCTCCTCAAAGAGCTACAGTTGTGATGGAATTGGTTAAAACCAGAGGACTCCACAAAACAAAATGTTCAGAAAGATAGTTTGAGGGAGCTTACCCCCCCCACCCCTTACACTTGAAAAGTGTTTCCTTGATAGCTGCAAAGAGAAAATCCACAGAATTTTCTGGTGCTCCTGCTGGAAGAGACTGCAGAACATGATGTGGGATCTGGTGTGTTGCAGAGCATCCAAACTCTTCACATGGAATGCCAGCTCTGACCTTGTGTTGGTGTCCTGCTTTTGTCTGGGACAGAGTGAATTTTCATGCCAGCAGCTGGTGCAGTGCTGTGGTTGGATTTAGGATGAGAACGACACTGATAGCACAGGGATGTTTTAGTTGTTGTGAGCAGTGCTTACCTTGAGTCAAGGACTGATGAGTTCCCCCTGCTCTGGCAGTGAGGAGCTGTGAGGGAGCGTGGCCAGGACAGCTGAGCTGGCCAGGGGGATGTTCCATACCCTGGGATAAACTGGGGGGTTGGCTGGCTGATTGCTGCTCAGGTGGTGCTGAGCAGCTCTGTTGTACATCACTTTGTCAGGGCGTTTGTTCCTTCCTTTACCTTCCTTTTCATTATTATTATTTTTAAAATTTTAGTTCAAGTATTAAATTGTTGTTATCTCAGCCCATGGGTTTTAACTTTTTTCCCTGATTCCTCCTTCCTCTCCCTCCAGGGAGGGGTAGGGGGTGAATGTCTGTGTGGTACTTTAATTGGTGGCTAGGGTTAAACCATGACAAACAGCCTGAATCCATTAAGATCAAACTGCCAGAGTTTCCCCACTTGCAGCAGAGCTCTCAACATCCCAGGGAAAATCTGCATCTGCAACGACTTCTGTTGGAGATTGCACGGGTTCAGCTGGCAGAACACAGCAATGGGTTTCCCTGCTCTCTTGGTGTGAGGCTGAGAGGCACAGAGATGCTTAGGATGCCAAAAGGCTTCCAGCAGCTGGGCCAAAGGGCTTCTTTGCTCAACAATCTCCTGGATTCCCTACTCATGGTGCAGTCTCAGCACAGTCTCCTTTACAAAGTGAGGTGGGGTGTTCTGAGAAGTCTTTAAAGACTGTTTGCAAATGGAAGGTGCAGAGACAGCCTTCATTTTGGTGTCACCCACATTTTCAGAGTGGAGTGCTTTGTTATTTCAATGCTCCAGGAATATAATTCTAATTTTCAAAATGTTATTTTATATAAATGAGATCCTTTCTAGAGGGCGTTTCCTGCGTGTGTGTAGCAACATAAGTATCTCAGCCCCTCTGAACAGCATCAGTGGCTGTGCTGAGCCAGACAAATGAGAACATTTTGACTTGTCCATGAAGCAGCTACTGAATACATGCAGTGGTTTGAGGGACATGCTGAAGCTTTAACAAAATTAGGAATTTGTACCTTTCAAAAGTGCCTCTTGGCAATGCTTGGAGCTGATACCCTCCTTGCACAGAGCCAGTCAAATGCATTCCCTTCCCAGTAATTTAAGTCAATGCTGGAGTTTCCATGGTTGGATGGACAGTTTAGCCCAGCTGTGTGCTGGGTTATTCCCCAGGATCTCTGTGGAGCTCACCAGGTGCAGAGTGTGCAGTCCACTGAGATCCAGAAAGGTTCCTACCAGTGGCCACTGCAGGGAAACACTTTGTGGTGGTGGGTTTGGTCTGCTCTGGAAAGGCCAAGTGGGATGGATGTGCTGTTCCCATGGCAGCTGCATCCTTGAGCTATGTTTGGACTTCTCCTGGAGCCAAGTAGGGCCCAGGCTGGCCTCTGCCACAGGATCCAACCTACACCATCAGCATTCCTGGATTTGTGGCAGGATCCCATCCCGACCAGCGTGTGGGTATTTGAAACTGAAACTCTTTTTACTCTGATGCAGATTTCTCAGGGCACAACTGTGTTGTTGGTTTTAGTGTCTCATTGGAGCGTACTCACTGTATTCATTTTTAAAGACCAGCCTGTATAAACAGTATTGCATTTTGGTTTGTTGATTGATAATTAAGGAGAATTATATCTGTACTCAGTGTACATTTAAAAAGTTGTTACATAGTTAGTGCTAAAAAGTAATATTTGGATCAATGCCTCCTATGGATTTTTGTAGATTTTCTCCTCACTGAGGCATGCAGTCAATACCTAATTTCTCTGGAGATTTACTGCACTTAACATATTGAGGTTCTTTTAAATACTCCAGTCCTGTGCATTGAATGTGTAAGCCCAGTTTTAATTTGCTATCATTGATGAACATAAGAGTATGAAGTACCTATGCTGAATTCCCTCCAGCATATATTTGTGTTTGCCATCGATTCCAAGCTGAGTCCTCTCCCTTCTCCCAGCATTTCACAGGAACTCTGAGCGGTGTTGCCATCTCTTGCATCAGTAGAGACCCCACTGAAGTCTGTGCAGGACTGATCTCTACATCTGCAGTAGTAAAAGCTGCTTCCCACAGGAGTGGGGGACTTTGGACAGGCTTCTCTGTGCCCCTCACATGGAGTTATGTGCTCCTTGATCTCCATCAGAGCCCTGGGACACCGGGTTTGTCCAGGGCAGTGCCAGCCTTGGGCTGATGGCAGGGAAAGCCCTGCAGCCCTTGTGCTGGTTTTGAGCTCAGCCAGAGCTGCTCAGTGGTATTAAAAACACAGCTCAGTGCTTGGCCGTTTTTCCTGTTCTGCTGACTAAAATATGTGCAGGGTTCATTTTGTGAGGAAGGATGTGCAGGAATATAAACACCTATGCCTGGAAACACATTCTTTGGGAGCCTGCTTCCAGAGAACAGAGCTCTGAGTGGCTCTGGATCAAGAGGTTGATTTGGCATCTGTCCATGCATAGTTAGGATTCAGAGGGAGCCTGCAGGATTTTTTTTCTTTTTTTTTCTCGGTCAAATGAATTATTGATCTGCTGCAGTTTGATATGTGTTTCCCAAAGACTGTGTACAGGACAAACTGTAAATCCTAAATAATAAAAGGAAAATATAACCAGTCTGGCGAAAAATGGGTGGAACTTTGCGGTGGGAAATAAATAAAAAGATGGTTGAGTTCCTGAGAGTTGGATTAGAAATGTGCCCAGCAGAGGAGGGAGCAGAAAGTGGTTGTAAGTGAAAAAAGAGTCACTAGCAAGGAAAATATTGGATGGGCTTCTACAGCCACCTCTGGAAGCTGCCAGGAATGTTCAGAAGCAGCAAAAATAAGATGAGAACAACTCTGTCACATCTTACATCTTGGGCTGTGCCTGGGAATGGGCTGTTTAATTTTGGCTGTTGTTCTCTACACCAGGAATTCAGAGAGGTAGTGAATCTCAGCTGCTTGCCCACCCCTACTTGTCAGGCCCTTACCTTTGTGATTCTTTTTTTCTGCCACACAGATGTGAAAGAAGAGTTAAAACTTCCTGTCCCCACTCTCCTGCCACATGTTGTCCTTACTGCAAGCCTGGAACCTTTTGCTTCCGACCAGGTACCGGCATCTCCTGCCACCACCACTGCATCTCCCACCCAGAACTCGTGGTGACCTTCCCTTGCACCTGCCAGCCTTCCCACTACATGAGCTTCTCCCCATCAGAGCAGAACCCCAACCCTCTTTCTTTCAGCACATCCCATTCCACCAGTCCTGATGATTCCCTCCTGGCAGCTCTGCTGTGTTCCATGCCCATTCATCCCATCGAGTGTGTATCTGTAGGATTCCAGTTTGGGAGAGAGAGCGTGGCTGGCCCAGGAAGTGTCCCTGTCTGCCATGTCACAGGCTGGGTTCTCTGCAAGAGCTGTACTCCAGCTGTGATGGTGCCATGGATTTTCCTTTCCAGCAATCCGTGGTTGGTGGTTACTGTCAGGGAGTACTTGAGCAATGTGCCAAGCAGGGCTGGGCATGAGGAGAGCAGAGATGGTTCCTGGCTGGCTTTTGCCCTGTCTGAGGCTGGATGACTCTGTGGAATGGCCTCCAAGCACTAAATGTATCATTAATTTATTTCTCTAAACCCTTCTGTGGAGCCACCCACTATTCCATTGGTCATCATCCTGCTGCAGGGAGTTCCTCAGACTGACCAGGACCTGGGGGAAGGAATACTTCCTCATCTGCTTTTTGGGGTTTTTTTTTGTCTTTTGATTTCTCCTACCCCTAATAGAGGCACTGATTTTTGTCAAGTCTTGTATTTGTCTGGTTTTTAATCATCTCAGCCTTGAGTTAAGTTATATCACTTTGTGAAGATACATTTTTATCATAATTGTATTTCACCATGATCATGTTTACTGTCCTTTCCTTTATGGGCTTTTGCCTTGCTGGCTGAGGTGTGAGTTCTCTTTGCTTTGAGTTACCATAGATTGGTGTCCTGTAATGCCAGTGAGAATTGGAGGTGCCACTGCACATCCATGCAATATGAGCAACCAGGATGATCCTGCTTATGAAAGGCTTCTAATCCAAAAAATCACTACAGTGAAATTATCATGTAACAGTGCTTATTAAAAATAAGAGAATATTTCATCTGTCACTTGTTAGCTCTTTACAGAAGAGAAAATCAGCTAAACAGAGGCCTTAGAGAAACGCTTATTAAAAATAAGAGAATATTTCATCTGTCACTTGTTAGCTCTTTACAGAAGGCTGGAGAAAATCAGCTAAATAGAGGCTATAGAGAAATCTCCCATTTCTACTTCTGTTTCAGAGGAGTTTCTGGGAGCAGTGGAGTTTTGAGAGCATATTGTGGCTGTAGTGATATCCCTGATCTATTTGGAAATAAGAATCTGAATATAAATTAGAGTGGAGATAGCTGCCAAATTCAGTGTACAGAGATACATCATCTATTTTCTTCTCAGGTGAATTGCTTCAGTTATTCTGAGTTATTGGAGCCTGTGCCTGTGTGTTGAGTATGTTTGTGGTATATTTAAAACTCTGATTTCATTGATGTGGTTGTGAGTTCATCAGCTTCAGGGGAGTTATTCCTGATTTATCTTGGCAGGACTGAGAACAGAATCAGGCCTTAAATCTCCAAATTAAGAAATTAAACTTTAAAGACATTGTGAAATAAAATACCACTGATACCTTTCTGTTAAATACTACTTCATATGAGACGAAAATAATAGTAAAAAAAATCCTGTGAGTAGAAAAGCAGAAATCAAACATCTATTAAAAAAGAAAAAAAAAAAACCAGCAAGTTTTTAGCAGAGAAGTAAGAATTTGATTTAAATAAGTATTAGTTGGAGTGTATACTCTTGTAACTGTGACAAGTTATCAAGCAGAATTGTTTTATTTTCACCTGGCTGTCATATTTAAAGTGAAGGCAGATTGATTTCTCTCCGTTGATGTTTATCAAGAATTCCTGTAATCTTCAGTTGTGTGAGCAGATTTATTTTTGCAAGTAAACATATCATTGAAATTTATCTATTAGTGCTCGATTTGACATGAAAATCTAATAACTCCTTTGTCCATAGATAATACTAACTCGTTAAAGATTAATCAATTACTTTTTAACAAGGATCTAAATGATTTAAAAGGTTGAGGGATTTCACTTATATGGAGCAGAGGGAAATAAGCAAGTACAGCTAAAGAATCAAATGCTGACATTTTCAAGTGGTTCTACAAAAACCCCAAGTAAATGTCTGTATTTAGCAGCACTTGTGGTGGCCAGGGAGATGAAGGGGTAGGGGACTCACTGTCTCCTGTGGAACTGTTCCTGTTGCTGCTGGGCAGAGGTGCTTTGCTCCTTTTTGTTGTCCCTGTGCCTCCTGTGGCTTTGGGCAGGTGTCAGCCGAGGCTTTTGCTTTGTCATGGCTTTGTCCCAGGAGCTGCAGGTGAGAGGGAATGTCATTAGTCATGGCCAAACTGTGAAGAAACTTTAATCTCTGGGACTGTTTTGTCAGAAAATGACTTTTCTTGGGGTAACACCTGAAATCTGATTGCTTTGCTGTTATTTATAGATGCACATCAATGAATCCCCCTCGTGGAAAAAAGCTGCCCGTTGGAATTCTGACAATTTTCCTCAAAAGGCCACTTTCTGTAGCCTCTCTCACACAAACAGGTGCCAGAAAGACATTGTGAAAATTAGAGGATCAGCAGTCAAAAACGCTGGCTTATATGGATCCAATCTGGAATTGCCATAATGGAAAAAAGAGTTGTGAACATGTGTGTGTGAATGGAACTGTTCCACAGTTACTGGGAGATTTATGGCCAGAGAAATCACTACAGAACAGCAAGTGGTAGAGATTGTGTTTTTATTTTAATATGGGAGCCAAGTCTTGCATTAGGACGTTGCTGAATCCAGGGCAGGAAACAAACGACGCCCAAGGGACAGCGCAGCGGTGTTGGATCCAGGGCCTTTAATAATCCCAAGCCTAAGAGCAGTTAAGATAGGGAATGTATAAAAACTAATCTGCTGCTTTTACAGTAATGTGTGTACAGCAACGAGGGACAGTTATGATGTGTTGGCACCGTGGCTTTTAGCAGATGACTTCTTAAATTAAAAGATAAGTTCACCGAGTGACTTTCTGGAATTTATTTAATGAAGGCCCATAAAATATGATATCTGTTTACAGCTGGATTAACAGCACAGTGCTCAGCTACTGGTCTTTACACTGGATAAAAAGTGCCAAACAAGTCTGAACTCTCCTTTCCTTCTTGGAAAGCACAAATTCATTTTGGAAAAGCATAAATTTAACTTCTACATTTGTCTGTCTTTAATCATGACAAGCAGTTTCTGGTTTTGTAGATTCCATGTGGTTTTGACATGCAAACTGAGGCTGCAAGTCAAAGAAATCCTGCAGTGCTCCTGCTTGTTCAGTTTTAGCAAGTTTGGTTTCCTCTGGGAACAGCAAGCACAAGCAATTCTGTTGATATTGCACTTTTCCCATCCCTCTTTCTCTAGGAAAAGCCAATCTATAGATTTAACTTCAGTTTTTCTGCGTAGATGATGCTCAGGGATGGGATTAATTTTTGATTTAATTTTGTCTCCTGTATTTGTGTCTGCCTGGGGCGTGCAGAGAGTAAGTTGTTCCTGAAATAACTTCCTTTTTGGAAGCAGCAGTGGGAAGTTCACCCAGGACTTTGCTAAACAGCGAGTGCATTTTGGGCTGTGCCGAGCTCCGCAGGCGCTGCTGGAGCCGGGAGCAGGCTCAGGCGAGTCAGTGCACACTAGATGGCACTTTTGTCCCAGCATCCGAGTTCAAGCGGCTCCACGGGAGAACAGGAAAGGCCATCAGTGTTTAGTCTGCTCTCACAGAGTCCCTGCATGACCAATGTGGACCCCATGGACTTCCTGGAACATGTGTTAGCAATTTAGCAGCAGACATTTATTTCTTTGTTTTACTGCTTGGCTCTTTGAGAAAGTGTTGGTACTCAGTTATGGGCTGTCTGGATCATGTCAGAGGCCATGGGGATCAAGTCCATGTGACAGGCCAGACTGAGGAAGGATGGAGTTGGAGGAGGTGAGGAAGCTGACCCTCACTTGAGCAGGAACAAGTCGCTGCCTGTCTGTGGCCTGTGGCCAAATGCCGGGGCGGTTCAGGTCTAATACAGCTGAACAAACAAAACACTTTGCCCATTTGGCTTCTTCATATTTCATCAGCACCAGTTCAATCAAAGTCTTTTCTATTTCCTAAGAAGAGGTTCCTATTCTTAATTGTATTTTTTTTTTCTCTTCCCCCCTCCCCCTTTCCCACATTTTAGCCCCATCCAGACGAGGTGACCTTGAAATCCTTGGCTACTGCATGCTGCACTGGCTGTGTGGGAAGCTGCCCTGGGAGCAGAACCTCAAGGACCCTGTAGCTGTCCAGAGTGCAAAAACAAAGTAAGGACAACACCCCCACACACATGGACACACCAGCCTGGAACCCTGCAGCATCCTCACTGCCTCCCAGCTCTGGGAAACACAGCTTTCCATGCTGTAGAACAGCACCTTAGGAGAAAGCTAAAACAATTTTCCTTAATTAAGAGAGATGTTGGAAGCAGTTAAAACGGGAACTTTATGTGCATGTCTACCCTTCTTTGCATGTTTATGTCTGTGCTGCTGTGAGGAGAGGATGGATTCCAGTGCACAGCACACAGGCATTTTGTCTGCTGTGTATTTTTCCAATGCTCTTTTTTTTCCCCAAGAAATCATTTGTAAATTAGCACGGGCCTTGGTGCACATACAGAAGGTTGTTGTGTGGTTCCATTAAACTTCACGGGCACTTTGTGGAGACCGTAGTACAAACATCTCTTGGAGGTTTTTCCACATGTGCACTCAATTTATTTAACTTTCATTATGATACTGTTTTTCAAATGTTTTCCTGTAGGTTTTTAATGTTACATAAGCCTACTGCCATTACAAACAATTAAATACCAAAACACTAAAGAGCTTGGTGAAAATCTTTCCTTTTTCCCAGCACGACTTGGAGCTCACTGGAGCAACAACAGTGCATCAGTGTTTTCTTCCTCTGCTCTCCCAGCCGGGACTGGAGGCAGTTAACTGCACGTGGTACCTGCAGCAGGCTCCACAGCACAGGAGTTACCCAGAGCTGTAACATGGCAAAGCAGGAGGCAGCAGACTTTTAAGTAGGGCAGGTGACAGCAGAGGTACCTGCTGGGGCTGGCTGATCCCCGAAATCATCGCGGCAGCGGCTCCCGGCACAGGGAAGGGCGGCTGCAGCCTGCGCCGGGGCTGAGCCGGCTGGGGATGTTGACACTCTCTTCTGTGTTTAATATTTCTTCTTTTGAAGTTCTGGTCATTACACAGCCCCCCTGCAAGGTAACACTTATACAATTCGATGGGAAATCAATTTAATCAATCAAGCTGTTCCACCTATTCTTCCCTTTCCGTTAACCCTTGGTTGGCTCATGTTTCCAGGATGCTGGGCAAAAGGAGGCTTCAAGGAAATGCCCAGAAAATTACACAGATTCCACTTATCAGAAATATCTTCTTACTCTAATGAATTGCATTCCTGGAATTAGGTATCTTGCCCAAGTTATCCCTCTTATCTGTCTTAATTTTCAGGTTTCTCTGGGTGCTGGACTTCCCAGGATGGGGGCTGGTGTTATTCCTGTTTTTAGGAATTGATGCCAAGCTTCTTTGCTGTTCCTGTTTCTGAATGGACAGGAATTCCAGCTGTGGCCCTACTGTTTATGGAGTGTGTGGGACTTTGGGTGATGTGACCTCCCTGTCCCCTTGTGGTCCTGCCGTGCCTGGGTGTAACTTTGGCAGGCGTGTGCTCCATGGCAGAGGGGACCCGATGCTAAATGATAGGAAGGCAGAGCAGAACTGCTGCTTAAATTCCAGAATAGAAATGGGAATCATCAATCTGAAATTAGAACGAGCCATTTGGCTCAAAGGGCTTTTGTTTTTCCTTCTAAAAAGCTTAAAATATGTGCAGAGAAAAATTTAAAGTGCAGTTTTAGGTGTCAGCTGGTCTTGGTGAAACCAGCAGTGTGCAAAGAGTTAAAAATGGAGCTGGTGAGGGGAGATCTGGGTTCAAAAGCAGTCCTGTGAATCATTAGCTATCCTGGAGGTCCACTCCCTTTGGAGCTGAGACTTGCTGTCTTCCTAAATCCCAAATGAGGAATCACCTGCTCCAAAAGCGCATTAAACTGTTGCACTCTGGTGTTGTTTCAGACTTATGGATGAGCTCCCAGATTCAGTGCTGAGGTGGGATTCTCCTGGAAGCAGCTGCAGTAAGTGTACTTGCACCTGTACCCTCTGGCTCTTCAGCCTCTTCCGACACACAGTTCAGTGTCTGACTCTGGGGGGGAGCAGAAGAGAGGGAAAGTAACACAAATTGAACAAAGTCTTTGACAAAAAAAAAAAAGAATCTTGCTCAGTCTGTGCTGTATCCCATGGAGTGACATAAGGGATCTTGGCCATATGTATTCCAAGGTGTTGGGAAGCAGTGACTATCTTGGAAACAGAAGTAGCTGTTAGTATGGAAATAGTAAGCAACTGTCTACCAAAGGTTTATTGCTCAGTCCTCAGAGTTTGAAAAAGCAAATGGATGCACAGTTTGTCTTGTCTTGTTTCTTCCTTCCCTGAAATACAAAAGTAACCCAGGGAAAACACCAAAAGGTCAGTATCTATTTTTGATTTATTCCCTTATTTTCCTAGCACTTTTGTATTGGAATTACTGGAATGCAATGTGTATTAGGTGAAATTTATTCATGATGTGTATACATATTTAATAAATCTTTCCTGCTGGGATTTGACCAGATGCTAATATCTGGTGTAGCACTCCAGTTTTAGGATACACTTGGGTCTTCAACTGAAAGAAAAGTTTGAACCCCCCATATGTTTTTCCTGCTAGCATTATTTCTGCCCATTCGGTGGTTTCCCTGTTTTTTGAACCACTTGATGGAAAAATGTTGCTGCTGTTGGACTGTTTTGGGATGCAATCAGAAAAACAATAGTAGGGTTTGAAGAAAAAAAAAAAAAAGTTGTATTTTTCCAAAACAGTTCCAGTATAGTATTTATGCATAGATTTATAGATTAAAATAATACTGTTCAGAGTCATTAATATTTAAGGGGATATTGTGATCTATCAAAGACTTTCCTCTTCTACACAGAACTATCAATACCTGTTGGTAAAATGTTTTCATTTTTATCCTTGGATAGCTGTCAATGCTGTGGGAATTAGTGCATGAACATAACAAGATGGAGCATTTCAAGCCTGGCTTGTTTATCCAAGTCTGTCTTTTCCTTTTCTCCTCCCAAAAAGACAAGACATTGTCAGTTCTGTGTTTTGAGTGTGCCTTCAGCTGAAATTGTGTTGTCTCATTTGGCATCCGTGTTGGAATGAGATCCTTTCTGAACTTCTGGGGTTGCACTCTGAAATTCACACTCAAATCTGCTCTACAGGTGAAATAGCCAAGTTTCTGGCCTCTGTTTCTGGCTTAGCTTATGCTGAGAAGCCCAAGTATCAAGTGCTGAAGAAAATCCTGCTGGATGGCCTGGAGTCGAGCGGGATGCGCTACGACGGCCCTCTGGAATTTTCCGCGGCAGCAGCAGCAGCGTGTGCACGGAATCACCTTGCTGCTAAGGTGTCCAGAGTGAGTGAGACAGCTCCTGCCTCTTCCCTTCCCTCATGGAGGGGAAGAAATGGTTAAAGCTCTCAAAATGAGACTGACACAGCAGTTCTTCTGCCTTAAATACACCATGTTTGTTAATTCCTGTTTCCCCTGGCTTTGCTAAAAAGTGGAATGTCAACCCTCAAGGAGGAAGAACTGCCATGAGTCCTTTTGACCCACAGGCTCTCACTTCAAAGCAGTAGGTCTGTGGAGAATGATTTACTTTCAGGATAATGGGGAAGTCAAGGACTTTGTTCACTAACATCTTGAAGACAGGCCTGAATGCCAGGTTTTTCCTTCGTCCCAGATTAAAAGCAAAGTTACCTTTATTAGTGACAGCATTTAATTCATTTTCTTGCTTTCAGGCTGTTCTTTGTCATTTGCCTTTATCCTCCTGCCGCCCCAGTGTGGAGGAGATGTTCCTGTGGCTTTAGCTGTGCCGTTGGTGTGCGCTGGCACAGGGTTTTCCAAGTGACACAGCTCTCCTGTGCTGTTTTCCTGCGGTGCTCTGAGTTAATAAAGCCCAGCTTCCCTAAGCAGAGAGGGAGGTAATTAGCAGTTTTGCTGGGAAATGTCAGTGCCGTTGTTCCTGTGGAAGTGCCCGCATGCAGCAGCCCCGTGCGGGGCTCTGGGGCGTGTGCAATAAGGCAGGGTCAGGGTCCCATCCATTTTTAATATTCCTGGTGAACTTTGGACCATCACAAGTGTACGTGAGCCAAGAATGCAGGATGCAAACTAATGTGACTGATAGGCTGCGAGATGAATGGTGATTCAAGTATCAGTGCACAGATGGTTCTGATTTGCTGAGTTTTGTAGCTGCTGCAACTGAAGACATAAAATATCCTTCTAGTCATAAATTAGCTCTTTGGAAGCAAAACCTTGGCACCAGAGCTTTACAACCTTCAATTAGTAGGGAAAGAAGTATTTGAATGACTGTGGTATTGACATCTGTAGGCCTGCATAGTAATCATTCCTAATAGAAGAGAATATCTGTTTGAGGGGGTTTTGCATGGCTAATTAACCACCAGTGAGAATATGTAATTTTTTCATGATCTCCTGATTGTCACCTTTCTCTCATGATACAATTAGATTTTATTGTAGCAAGTGCCTCACGAACCAATTGTCAGCACTATTTACGTATTGTGGAAGGCAGAACAAAAGTTCACGTTTAATGAAAAGGTACCGGGTTTTGATCTTGGTAATTACAGATACTTAGTTTAGCACTTTTATTGACTTTTCTGGTTTTACCCCTTTTCTTTTTTTTTTTATTTTAACAAAACCAAAAGCTGTTTTGGTGACTGGACTTGTGTGGCTGTGATGGTGACCACTGTGCCCTCACTCATTTGAGAAGCTCTTTTAAGTTTGCACTCTTTTGTGAACTGACTCAGAGCATCAGGTAGCTGTGAACTGATCTCCAGCTGATCCTGCTGGATCTCTGTTTCACAGGAGTCTTTGATTTCTTAGAGTCAGACACTAAATAGTAAATCTGTTTCCTTCTTAAGCCTGGTCAAAAGCTCGACAGTCTGTGGCATAAAAGATGATCCCAACCTTGCAGGCTGCAGGAGCTGCTGCTGCACTGGATATTTGCAGGTCACACCCCCCTGGAAAATCCCTGGCTGAGGAGTGAATGGTTGTCACCATTCCTGTGCTGCAGGGTTCAGTGGGATTGGGTGTGATGGCCAGGAACAGGACTGGGGGAATGCTTGGGTGTTACTAAATCTTGGCACCTGTCAGCACTTTCTCAGGGAAATCTGTAATGCTGTGTCTCACTTCTTGGAACAGTGAGAACACTGGGATCACCTGTGTATGACTGCAGCCTGTTCCTTCAGCCAGTTCTGCTGCTGACATGAGCCGGTTTCCTCTAAGCACTTGCTGCAAAACAGCTGCAGAAAGGCAATTTTAGGGTTATCCAAAGGATCTAAGGACTACTTAAATACAAATAGAGAGGGCAGGTAACTGAACTCTCTTGAAATTTATTGCTATTTTTAAAAAATGCAATGTTTTAGTAGCCTGGTGCACTTGTGCTGCAGCCCTGACAGTGCTGGGTGACAGGCAGGCTCTTCCCAAAGCATTTCTTTGTGGCATTGCCTGGAGTGATCCTAGGCCTGATTCTTTTCATCTCAGTGTTCCTTCCCTTTCCCCCTCTCCTTCTCCCATTAAAGAGACAACCTTGGAACAGTGGGAGCCACTGCAAACAAGCCACTGTCTCCTCACTTGTTGCTTGTGAGCAGGATCTGACTCCAGCTGATCTGTCTGATTCCTCCTGTACCACTTTGGTACACAGGAAATGAGGAGATTTGGGGTTAATTCCCTTCTGAAGAGCCGTGAACACCTGTAACAGAGGCTCCTTGATGATGTGAAGAGCATTGCATGGATTTTAGGATATTGCTCCCTGTATAGAATCTGAATCTAATCTTGAGGTGGCATAAGAAGTGTAGCTGTAGCTATAGCCTGATTCTTGGTTCCAATTGCACACCAAAGATAGGTGATAAGATATTATTTGCATTAATTCCTGTATTTGTTTACCAGATTTTTTTGCTCTGGATAAATATTTTCAGCTTTTCTCCCTCCAGTGAAAGTGCTGATGTTGGGGCTAAATGAAAGTGGTGTGAAAGTGGGTGGAAAGCCAGGTCACTGCTTGTCTGATCTTGTAGAAATCAGACTAAAAAACAATTGCATTAATACCAACCTGTAATTTCATTATTATGAAATATAGTCATTTTTAGATGTAAACCCCCTTATTTTCACTTCTGGACCTTTAAGTGAAAACTTGGTTTTGCTTTAAGTCCTGTTTGGAAAGCGATGCAGTTGTTTAAGGTGTGTATATATGAAGATCATTCTTTTTCTGTGTGAGATCTGGGCTTTTTTTCACTGTACAAAGTGCTTACTGTGCACTCCAGGTTCGCCTCCCAAAGCCTCCATCAAAACCAGCTCAGCAGAAGGGAAAAAAGCCACAAGGTGAAGAACCTGCCTATCAAAACAAAGTGTGTGAGGGGGTGACAGGCACACAGCTCCTGGAAGAAGGAAAGCCAAGTACACGGAGCCGGAGGCGTCCCCAGGCAGAGCTGCAGCAGGTGAGGATTTGGGTGTGGCAGAGCACCCAGCTCTCCCTGTTCATTAGCTCCATGTCCATCTCGTGGGGTGGGTGAGGAGGAACAGGGCTGGAAGAGAGCCAAGGGCTCTGTCACAAACTCTAGGAGCTGGCAGATGCTTGCTGGCTTCCAATATTCCGAAGAGGAGCCCGAGTCTCTGGTAGCCCAGGGCATAAGTGCCAGGAGGGCAGTGCCTGACCTGCCCCAAACCTGGCACCTCCAAGTGCTGGATCAGGACCTGGGCTAACTCTGACCTTACTGAATTCCTTTCAGCACACAGAGTTACTGTCTGTACCTCAGTGGGCTCCCTTGCCCAGGCCTTCCCTAAAATCAGTGCAGCAGAAGGAAGACGTGGGGCACGAGGACCACTCCAGCTGCCTGAGCAGGCCCCACACCAGGGGAACACGCCAGCAGTTCCACATGGAAGAGAAGCCACTTAAATTGTACACTACCTGTCAGGAGCCTGGGCACCCAAAAAAGGTGAGGGGTTTGTGATACCATACAACAGTCACAGTGCCTTGAGAAGGAAAGATCAGCTTTTCTAAAAACAAGAGTTCCAAAAACCCCTTGAAGGCTCAACTACATGTACACAAACTGTTTGCCATGAATGCTAAAGGTTTGTGTAATTGCCTGTATGCACTGTTGGCCAGCTACCACTGCAGTTTGTGTAGCTGCAGAGCAAAGCCCTGCACGTGGATGCAAATTGTTATTCCCCAACTCTTCTATCCTCCTTTGTGGACCCTGCTGTTTGCTTGGTACAAACTTTGTTCAGTAGTTTCCTTCTCTGTGTAGTGGAAAACTTCATAGCTCTCATTACTTAAGTCCTTAAATTGTGAGATTTACATCAGAGGATTTCAGCAGTTAACAAACTCACCTTGAATATTATTGTTAATTTAGTGCATAAAAGGGCTGAATGAATAGTTTCAGTCTTACTCTTCAACCATACAGGAAAAAAAAAGAAAAAAATGAATCAGTTTTAGCACAAATGATACAGCACCACGTCCATCTCAGTGATCACTCTGTGCTCCTGTTCTCTGGAGCTCTGGTGATTTTAGTGTGTGGATTCCACCTGGTTTTCTTTCATATAAACAGATAATTTGGTTAAATGAGGACAGTTTCTAATGAGCACAAAAATGCAACTTTAAAGGTAGCTTTATGATTAATCCAAAATTCTTTGCTTCAAGCAGTCTGATCATCACTGCCTGGAGACTCCGGTACAAGCTGGGAGAGGGAAGCAGCAAAAGCACAGCTGTACCTGAGAGCACCAGGCAGGACAGTGGTGAGCAGAACCATTCTGGGAGATGTTTTGGCTGCTTGCAGGGGACATGGAGTCTGACAAGTCAAACACAACTGTGGAATAGGAAAACATTCCAGTGTTACTTCCTAGTCCTCAAATGTAAAGTTTTTTTGCAGAAAAGAGACCAGTCACTGGGCTGGTGGTTAGATGATATTTGTGTTTGGATTTAGTTTTTCTAATGGAAAAGCTGCTATTCCAATAGGATTAAAGGTGCTGTTTCTATGTACAACCATTCTGTGGTACTCAGTGAATATTCTGCATAATAGGGGGGACTTTAAATGGATGTCAGATAACATTTAAGCCATTCAAATGAGAAAGTGGAGACAGAAAAAAGGCAGGATTCGCTTAGCTTCATTTTGCAGAATTCCTCTCAAGTAATTCAGGAGCTTGGTAATGGAAAGCTCTGTAGGAAACCAAAGCTGTCCCTGGTGCTGAGGGGCATTTGAAAAGAGTCAAGTCTTGGCTAAGTGAGAAGTGGGATTGTGGTGTTTGGGAATCCCTTCCAGAGGTGGAGGCTGGCCAAGGACAGCATTGCTGCTGGAGATGTGGCACCCCTGGCCAGCCACAACCAGCCCCACTCTACAACTTTATGTTCCTTGTGGTGGGCAGAAGTTCAGCTTCACTGTGAAATGCAAAACTTACACAAATCAAACCAGCACCTTCACCCTTAAAATCATGTCTTGAGTTTCCAGGATAAACCTTTATTAGTAGGAACACAGCAGAGACTGAATATATTAAATGTTTTTGGACAAAAGTCAAAGGTTTTCAGCTGTAGACTTCAATAGTAAATATAGATGTCTCTTCAGGAGGTGTTTAACCATGCCTTATGTTACACATTTACCATACAATATCCATACAAGTGCAAATTCCAGAGGTAAGACTCTGTAAGAATTATAATACTTTCTCTAAATAACTTAAATACCTCAATGGCATCTCTGGTTTTTTGATTCACATCTGACTTCTTATTAGCTTTATAATCACAGCTTTGTTTTCCCCTGCAGGAAGACACTGCAAGAGAGCTGCCACCATTTGACCCCTACAGAATACTCTCAGAATTCCAAAAGAAACACAATCACCTTGTAACTCCAGCTCCTGCAGCAGCATCCCAGGCTGGTGCTGACACCACTCGTCCCTCTCTCTCTGCTGTGTTTAGGCTGGCATTTGCTGATCAAACCTACCCCTACACTGCAGCTGTTCTGGTGCTTCTGCTGCTCATTGCCCTGTCCTTGTATCTGCTTTGATGTTGTTGTTCCTGTGTCTTCAGTGGGAGTGCAGTGGTGCTCCCACCATGCAGCTTTTTCCTAGAGTTTCTTCATTGAAGATTTCAGTGTCAGCGGCTTGAAAAAGAAGTTTTTAAATAATCCTGTCAGTACACGCCTTGTACAGGCAAGTTCTCATCTGCATTCAATAGTTATGGATTCTCTGAACTATTTGTGTTGGCTTCTGTTATAAATGTTGGGATTCTTTTTGTTGCTCGTAACTGAACCTTTTGTTACGGCATTAAAAAAGTATCATTAAATACAATGGAGTGTGGTCTTTAATTTCTCTGGCATTAGTGTGGGACTGTCTTTATACTGTGTCAGAAAACCTTCAGTTAAACACTGACACATTTGCCTCTTCCACTCCAGTTCACTCCTACTCCTTGGATTTCCTTACCTTATTACAATAGGGACATTCACCAAAGATGACATTAAAACTCTGTCTGCTGGTAGGAAGGCCTTGTAGCCACTGCAACACAAGAAGCGGGTTAAAAGTCACATTGGTTTCATCTCCAATTTAAGAAACATCTATTAATTACCAGAGTTCAGCTGATGAACATCTGACAGGGTGCATGCAAAGTCAGCCTGTGGCTCCCTTTCCAAGAGAGCTCACGTAGGAATTGGGGGTGACAGGACAAGTGACTGCCACGATGTTCCTTATGGGCTCTTGCTTAATGCAGAATAAGTGGCCAGTGCTGGTTGTCCAGAACGTGCCAGCTCGTGGCAGATTGTGCCAGTGCTCACTGTACCTCATAGAGACAGGCCTGGTGGAAGGGCTGCCCACAGCGAGGATCGTCACACACGTGGTCGGGCGTGCTGCCGTCCAGCCGATAGGCGTAGCAGATCCCACAGTCCTTGGCAAAGTCCTGGAACACAACAGCACAGCTGAAAGGCAGGGCTGGGCTGCTCACACACAAACACCTTCACCTGTGGTTTTGCTTTTGCAGTTTTTGTTGGCTGGAATGACTACTTTTTGCATTTAAGACATACATGTTTATGTCACAATGGCTTAGAGTGACACTGGGTTCTAGGTGTGCAAGATTTGACTGGGTTGTATTTCATCCCTTACTGAATTACATCTCATTCAACAAGCATTTTCATACTTTTGGGCACTTTTTGTTTATTAACCACTATCACTTCTCATTATGATTTAACATTAGACACAGATCAGATCTTAATTTAGAAGCTTCCTGAGTGAAAGCAAAGCTCGTAATCCAATGTTAAAGCACTGTCAAAAATTAGTTCCCAGTTTGTTTGAAATGCGCCAGTATTTGGATGGCCTCTTGTCCCCTCTCCAGCTCCACCTAATTAGAACTGAAGTCATCAACATCCATAACAGAATGTTTGGATTTTCCTCATCTCATTAGCCACTCTGGAACATCCTCTTCCTTTTAATAGTGGAGCCTGTTATGAATGCCCTCACTGCTATGAAGGCCACAGGGAAGTGTGCACCTCTAATCAAAGGTTAACAAGCTCTGACAACTGTTGCTTGAAGTTCAGAAGTCCTTGTGACAATGAATTAATCCAATTACCTCTCCAAAGTCCCTGATTGTCCTTGGCTCTTACACAGTGACCATTTAAATGTGACTTATTCAGCAATAACGACTGATCGTTAACCAAAACCAACTTACGCTTTTTTCCAACACAGCACGAGATGGAAAATCAATTCCCAGGACCTCTCTCAAGTTCTGTAACAAACTGATTTCTGGATCCCTGTGGGTGGGAGAGGGGAGAGAAAAATCCACACGAGGAACTGCAAACACCATTTGGGTTTCCAGCCTGCTTTACGGGGGACACTCACCACAAGTGCATGTTGTTGTTGAGTTTAGTTCTCAGAGGGTTCACTTCTGCAAACAACAGACAGAAACATTGGCATCACCCCAGTGAGTCTCCCAGGCTCCAGGGAGGGATTGGGACCAGAGATCTGAGTTCAGAGGAGAAACCAGTGGAATTTGTTGCCTTACCATGATCTGCTCCAAGGAAATAACACTCCGGAAGCATGTTTGGATGGCGAGGATCTACCTCTATGTTCACTGAGACATTGTTCCCTGCAAGGAGAAAGCAAGGCCATGGGGAAGCTTTGCAAGGATTTGAAAAAGGAACCATTTTCAAAGGTAGTTTTAAATTGGTTATCTCAGGCTGGGTTTCATTAGGATAAATAATAACAAAGTTAGGAGGCATCCAAATGATTGTACAAAATGTCAGTATATATCAAATATTTACATTTTCACAAACTGTAATTAAAAATAGCAACTGATTAATAAAATCTGTCAGGCTTGTGTTTCTTTTAGACTTGGCTTAACCTTTACACTTATTCAGAAAGAAACATACTCAACCCAAGCTAGATGACAACAGCCATCCAGAATCTTGGTGAAACTTTAAAGGTAGAGACATGTGACTTACTAATTCATCTCCATATTTTATAGTCAAAAAGAGAAGTCCAAACCCAATATTAAGCAGCAGAAGTCAGTCCCCTCCCCAGCAAATTCCAGGACTGAGACAACAAGGCTGTATTTTTGAAACAGCAAATATTTGGCTTTACAAGACCCCCCACCATCCCTGGAAGGGCTCTGTTCCTCAGAGGGAAGCAGCTCAGTGGTGCTCTGGATCCAGCTCCAAAATATCACAGCAGAGCCTCTTCTGAACAAACCCAGGTAAAACCCAACCTGTTCTGTAATTAAAGCTGTGTTAAGCTTTCCATCCTGGAAGAGGTGGGAATGAATGAAATCAAAGTTCAGAGGTAGCTGAAGGTTCTCTGTGCCTGACAACAAAGGGCTCAAAGCCCCATCCCTCCTCTGCTCAGCTGCTCCAAGGCACTTTTTGAGGCTTTTCTTCCCTTTTCTTGGCCTGTGACAAAGGGCAGCAGGACCAGGACACAGCCCCCTGCCTGCACACAAAGTGGTGTCTGACCCACATCATTCCAACCACTTGCTGAACTTTTCCTGTCCTTCCCTCCACTCCCATGAAGCAGCTGCCCTCCTGCTCCTTCCTCCCTCCTTCTACAGCTGTCAGGGACAACGTGGGTCCTCTGTATTCTCACATTTCTACAATTTACTATTGGTGATGTGGATTTTATATAATTATAAAATTCCTCATCCTATGTATATTAAGACCTTAAAATGCCAGATATCAGCATGTAAACTGAGGTACATTTTCAGGTGTTGACAGGGAAGCCTCGTTTCTTCTCTTTTATTTCTGTCCTTTCCCCTTGCCTCCTTTAATCCCCTTTTTCCCCTTGGGCTGCACTCTAATATTCCCTTCCACTCCAGGATAGGATGAATCTAAAGTTTAAAACTGGAATTTGTGACTGAGGTAAGGGCTTCATCTAAGCTGCTTTTTTATAAATACTGATTTTTCTAGGGTTACCATGTAAGTGCTCAGCTGTTGACAGTTCCATGTTCATAATTCACAAATACACAAGGTTTTCCTGCAAAAATTTTAATTTATCTGACACCAGAAAGTTGTAATGAATTTCCCAAACAGGATCAGCATTCTGTTATGGAAAGTTATCTTTTTAATATGCAAAAGAGGAGTTCTGTCTTTGGTTTTAAGTGCTGCTCTTCCTTTCCCAAACCCAAAGAAGCACCATCTGATGAGACAAGCAAAACAAAACAGCTGCCTGAGTTTTACTTCTCAAATCCACTGTATCCCTTTAAATCTTTTCCTACCTATTGCAATTCTTCTGGTTGTAGCACTCCGTGTGGGATTTTCTGGCTCAAGCACCCATGTCTTCCCATCGATTTCATCAAGGGCATCCCAGAATTCCTTCAGCGACTCCAATGCTGCCAGGAACTGATTGTAAATGTCTGTTAAGGAGTTCTAAGAAACAAGAAATTCAAACAGATTTCATTGAGTTTCCACCACAGCCTGAAAGTATATTTAATAACCAATTTATTCATTTAAGGAGTGTTGAAATCCATGTGTGTGTTCCAGTGTATCGTGATAACATAAAACATGGAATATCACCTAACAACCTCATCATTGTCTCAGAATTGAGCAGTATGAAAACAGGTGCTTAAGATCAGCTTTCAAACCCTGTAAATAAGGCACAAAAAGGAGAAACCATCTAATAAGCAGAGGATTACACGTAGGGGATTTCAATATTTGAGAGTGGATTACACGGAATCAGAAATATCTTTCATTAGACAGGACAACATACAGGCCAGCAATGCAAAAGAAATCTTTTGAAATTATCAGTGGGCAAAAAGAAGTCACCATTCCCCTAGGAAAAGAGTTCTGCAAGAGGAGAAAACACTTGGTGGTCAAGGGAACCCTTTGCAGGTGCAGATGCCCATTGAGGGACAGATTTCAGATATCTTGAGGTTCAAAAGAAAAAGCAAATTAAACATTCTGTTCTCAGACAGGTATTTTTCTATGAATTAAACAAAATACAGAAGGAATGGTTTGCTTTAATCTGTAGTGATTATATTCTCCCTTTCTCACCTGGACTAAGAGCAGCAAGTTATCTGAGTGTTCTCAGATGAAGAAATAGAATTTTTCTACATAATAACTTTTTATATTTTGTGCATTGTATTTTAGAAAGAAACTGCGTAGCTTGGAAATAAAATGCTACATTTTTTCCTGCTGTTGTTAAATTATATTAAAATAGGAAAGCACCTAAGCAGAGAAGTGTGAATTCTGCCAATCTCAAAATGTAACGCTTATTATCTTTAAAAGCATTTTGTTACTTTTATAATACCTGAAGTGATATAATAGTGTCAGTCACTTAACCACATCTTAGAGTATAGTATCTTCATCTTAAGTACTATTATTTCCAGTATTTTAATAATTTTCACACAGTCCTGAAATGTGATCTTTTGTGCTCTGATGACACTTAAATTAATAGCATAATTTTCTGGTACTTGCAACAGTTGTTTCCATTTTGATTTTTTACATTTTTCTATATCACATACAGATAAATCCTCTAATAATCATTTTTATCTTTATCTTCCGGGAATTCAAAGGGTTTCACTAGAAAAAAGAAACATCAAGGGATTATAACCCACAGATAAGTTTTAAAATCCAATTAATTTTAATACTAATTGTAATTTTTCAATGATGTTCCTTAAAAAGGTAGTTAAATCTTTTTTTTTTTCTACACTGTTCATTTGATCTTATTTGCATGCTTCACTGAAGTTACCAGCTGTCTCCTGTTCTATACGTAAATGCATCTATAGCTATTTAAATACATCACCTGCTTGTCATGCAAACCATGAAAACTCCAAGATTCCTTTTTATTTGATTAACCAACTAATTTTTGGTCGC